GGCATGTTATCTCTCTATTTGGCCAATTTCTACTCTTTCCACTACGGCCGCCTCCCGAAGCCTGGTAGAGGCTAGTGTGTATAGAGCCCGTGTGATTGGCAAAACGAGACGGTAGGATAGCGTAGCGTGGGAAGACTACAGAAAGCAGTGTGTAGCTCGCTTCGCGCCACGCCCTAGCTGTGTGTGTGTTTCACGGTCCCGACTAGCTAGCCGGTGACGCAGCACGAAATTCTCCATTTTACCCGCGAGCAGCGTCGGGCGCCGTGTCAAAAGTTCGATGCGCTCCCGAGGAGAAATCTATTTGAAAGGTTATCGCGTCCACAGAGTGTGAAAATAGCGTACTAGTATAGATGGCAGCAGGCTACTAGCCTCTACCAGGCTTCGGGAGGCGGCTGGAAAGAGTAGAAATTGGCCAAATAGAGAGATAACATGCCGAGGGAGTTGCCTCTAGAGTACAGTTTGCCGCTCTTTAGCAGACCAACTCCACTGGCATGTTATCTCTCTATCCAAGTTGGCCAATTTCTACTCTTTCCAGTCGCCTCCCGAAGCCTGGTAGAGGCTAGCAGGTGACCGGCACGTGGAAATAAGCATCATGAGACAAAATGATTGTATGGCGTTCGCGATCACGTTGAACGTACTGGTTGTTCGATACACTATGAATAAAAACATGTGTTAGAAAGATTAGAAATGCCTTTTCATAACATGGTTTTTAAGTAATCATGACCATGTACAAAACGTAAAAAAATCAACGTTTTGATCATTAAAATTTGAAAATTGTTAACAACAGATAGGTATTTCCAAAAGGCAGAATATACATTCAGATTCAGATTTATTGTAATCAACTTGTATGTCACATACAGCATTGCATGAGAACATGAAATATCATTACTACGGTATGGTGTTGGATGGTCCATTTTACTGAAACGGCAATGAACGTACTATACGCTCGCTTGAGCAACAACCTTTCGGCGCGTGGTGAGTTTTATACGACATATGTGACCAGGCCCTTCAGATGAATCAAATCAAATCAACTTTATTGCTCAACAACTGTAGCTGGTACAATGTATGGCAAAGAAACAACAATGGTACATACACATACTAATACTAATACTAAGATATAATTCTAACGAGCTAGTCCATAATGATACTAAAGCTAATCTATTGTGTTTTCTTAGGAAGAGTATTATTACATTCTGTAATTCAGAGGATCATCAGCTATTTACAATATGGTGTCGCTTTTGTAGTGATTCGAATATGAATTTTCCAATATACACTGATATCTGAGTATGACATGAAAGGGGCATATTAAAGATATCTGATTTTGAGTGATTTTGAGATGAATGATATTTCCATTCTATAGCTAAATCGTACGCTACAAATGGCTACGAACTAGTACAGAGCCCTCACTGACTGCACCAAATTCAAAGAACTGATCAAAGAAATTCTCTGATAACATTGTCCCTTTTAAGTTCTCCTCCGCTGGTCACTGTATGACAGACGATGTATTTGAACCCAGTTAGAAGAAATGGTTCGTCCATTTATTAGATTCGAAAGACAAATACGTCCTCAGAAAGGGTATATACTAATGTTCAAAGGAATATAAATTCATTTAGTAGAGAGATGATGAAGTCAGTCTTTATTGCGCTTTGTTTCTCGGTATATCGGTGATGGATTTCCTTATCCAAATACGAACACTGAAAGAAAACGCCAAACAGAAAACGCATCCACTAAACGATACATGTAACTGTTAACTCAACTGACTTAAGCAGAAATTGCATGGCAAATACGTATGTATGTTTAGCTATTTCTATATGAGGAAGATGTTGAAACAAGGCAGGTATATTATCGTAAAGCACCATTACCAGTATTACCAGTATGACCCGTACTTAATTTTACGCCACTGCAAGTTTTGCACATAAGGACTATTGATTGAATAAGAAGACAGAGCTACGGTATAGATGGCGAGGTAACAATATTGTAAAACCCGCTGTCAAACGTTAACGCGTACGGTATGTCACATGCCATCGTAGGATTTTCAACTGCAACAGACGCTGACAAGGATTTAAGGCAGCTTTTCTAAGACAGGTAGATTTAGATGAATCTTTATTGCATATTAATGCCCAGGTGAGCTAAAACACATGTGACTTAAAAGAGGTCTATATGCTATATTGAGCCGCTACATTCTAATGCTAAGTGCTAAAAGTCTATATCAACAAAATAATATACTAATCATATCTTGAAAGTTCATCGGTGTTAGTAGAAGTCATTATGCAGCAAGTTTAAACTGTAATTTCCAGCACAAGAAATTGTACTGATATATACTATACTAATATAATATGCTAGTCATCTACTGTTAGAATGTCCTTAGTTTGGTATTGTGTGACGATCTTACAGCGTATGTGTGATCAAGACCAAATGGCTCTCGTCTACCTCTCTTTTGTCTAAAGAGATCCGTAAAAGCCGGTGTTCGTGACAATGACAGTAATGCTAGCACATGTATAGTCGTTATAGTGTGAAAGAGCAGTAAACGTCCAACATGCAACATGCATATGCTTGAAAACAAGAAAGCCTACATATTAGCGTAGTTTTTCAAAATCATTCAACTACACATTTTCTACCTAATTCTGTAGAATTACAGTAGCATGATCATACGCTTGACTTGTTTTAGTTGTTTTAGTTGATTTTCATTGCAGGCTCACAAAAGAATCCACATTTGCCATGTTCATGTTCAGTGTTAGTAACACAATGATAGAACACTTTAAAGTATGATGGTTCGCACAATACGCTAGCGTTTACCTCAAGCGATATCGTTTCATTTCTATTTTATGTACCAGTAAATTAATGGGCAAAGATGACTAGAATTACGATAAAACCTGTGATCATTACACATATTCGAATCAACCTATTTCTTTATTAATTGTAGAATTATTCAATAAAAGGTGTGATATGCAAAGATACACAATGAGGTTGAAAAAATGCAGTTAAAACCTGAAACACATTTACTCCTATATAGAAATCTACTAGCCCTTGTGAACAACGGTCAATATGGGCTAGTCCTGTATTAGCCACTCTCCGAGTAGAGTTTAGGCTTGTTTTGTTCGTTTACGCGTTTTGTCGTCGGGCTTTCTATTTTGTCAAGTCACTACGTGGTAGTACAAATGCAGAACATGATATTTTTCCAGAAAGGTCTACGAATAGAGGGACAATCTTTCGCCAAGGAAAGTAACGACTTAGGTTCTCTTCTTTTACTTGACCGCTGTACATGTGTTAATTCTTTCTTTTTCAGTGTCCCACAGCAATCCGTCTGTTTTATTTCTATGGAGAAATTTAGTTGCGTTCTGAATTTACAATAGAAAACCTGTCGCAATGACACAGTTCTAGTTTTCTGACTGTGTGTAAAATACAAACCTACTTCTGGCTTCAACTCTTTGTTTAAAAAGCACCAATTCTCTTACTAGTATTTGCTATCATTAGCCCTATAAGTAGTTAATAGTACACTAACAACATATTACAGATTCAGTTATGTTAGCCCTTTGTTGTTTAGTAACTATAATTTTAAAATCTAGGTTGTATTTCTGTTTTGTACTTTGAAGTTGACCTGTACTCTGTGTTGCGTAGATAAAGATTCTGTTTTTGCGAGAGTTCGGCTTCTGCATTGGCTAAATTTTTGTTGGGTGTAAGAAAGGAAAGTGACAGTTGCCACTTTCACTAACCACTTTCACTTCCTGGCTTTGTTTGTGTTGAAAGAAAACATGTTCGTGCAAATGTTAATGATAATCATCGCCATCAAATGTTAATGATAATAATCATCTACAAGCAGTAGCAATTCCTTTGTTATTGCTTAATGGGCCGCATTGTACTCGTAAAGCGTTCTGTTGTAAAATTAATGTTTTCTTTTGTGTGTACAGAATAGCCACTCAGGAGCATCGATAGCAACATTATAGCAACTCGGGAAAACAAATTCTTTTGAGGTTTGTTGCCAACATTGTGATGGAAAGTCATTTTGAAAGCACACATCATCAGTACATTCTAAATTTCTAAAGTCCAGCTATGGTATGTCTTTTTGTCACTCATTTTATTCAGTGAATTCAACACTAGAGGCGTTTTGTGGGTTTTTCTTTGTTTTAAGTTGACAGCCATTTACCGTACTCTCCGAGCTAAGGTTGAGGCTGCGGACTATCTTTACGTGTTTTACTTTTAGGCCTTTTATCCGGCTTTCTTTTTCGGTACTACTATCTTTTTTCGGGTGGTATATTGGGTACTGTCTTACCAACCCGATACACTCTTTCCAATTTGATACAGTATTGCAGCCACCAAAAAGATCTGCTTGGAGATTACCATTTACAGGTGGGACACTACGTCTTCCATGGTTTACAAAAGAGAAGCCAAACCCTTCAGACATATAATATTTTTCGACATAGTTATAGTTTTAGACAATTACCTTTTATTATGTAGATTTTGTTACTCTGTCTCTATGTTCTTTTGTCCTTGTTATTTGCAATTATTCCTCGGGCAGGACTTTGCAATAAATTTATCAATTACATAGGTAGTTTGTCGCAATACTAGGTAGTGTGTGTATCACAGGGTAGCCTATCTTTTTCCCGACACAGTCGAAGCGCCCTTTGAACTTCTAGTAAGCGCGCGGCGCAAGCTGGTGACAAAATGCCGTCTGTCGGGTCATCCCGGATTCCGGAACCGCCCCCTCCCCGACACAGCCCGATCTGACGGTGCAAAACACGGCCGGGAATGCATAGAAAATCAGCTATCAATCACAAAGTTGATGCACTGAGCAGCCCGAAGCCTCTCTGTACCGATTTTGCGAGCTTACAGGCTTCTGATGTTTTTAGTTTTTAATCTCTAGGATCGTGGCGTGGTTGTGGAGAGGTTGTGTTGTTGTTGTGAGTTGTTTGTTCGACACGCGCGCTGGTGGTAAACAATCGGCCGCGCGGCTGGAGGAACTTCATTCCGCATGCAGTCACGTGATCAATTACAGCGTCTGCCGATACCTTGCTGCGGAGCCGCAATCGGCCGCCGACCGACCCAGCTCCGTTTTCGTCGATTTTCGGACCGTTCGCGGCGATTTGGAGACCAGAATCGAGGTAAGCGGCCAAGTAGAGGTCCTTGTTGACCTATATTCGTAAGGTGTCGGTCCGGAGTGGCGGCATTTTGCCGGAATTTGACGGTTTTTCCGCCGTGACGCTGCGCCACGTTTGTGTCGCCAGATTCAAGATGGCCGCTCCGCTACGGCGTTTTAAAATGTCCACCAGAATTCGTCATTTTGTGCCCGATCCCGCCGCCTGGCGCCTGTACCTCTACAAATTCTTGTAGGTAAGGGGGTAGACTCCCTGCCTGTTGTAGTGGATCTAGGCGGCTGTAGAGGTGTTGTCAGGCACTGTACCTCGAACCACGAGAGCCGAGCTGCTATAGGAGGGGGTCATGGCGTTCTCACAGTGAAAATCTGCCGGCGAAATCGGAATAATTCCCAACAGTTTAAGTTCGGGGTTCGCGAAGCATCAATCTCAGCGTTTCGCTGTTTGTTGTGCCTAACTGTCTAAAGTGTTGTCTATGCGTCACTTATTTATCTGCGGTCGTCTTTGCGGAGAAATGGATTATTTTGCGGTTTGAAATTGGGAAGAGAAAGTATTGAAGTGAGGAGACACGGAGTTCACAGCACTAGGTGCCCCAAACACCATCAAAAATCGGCCTAAGACAAAACCGTGCGGCCGCGAAATTTACGTGGTGTGGAGCACATATAAAACTGAACCATGTGCGTGATTGTCGGGATTTTAGGCCGCTTTGTGGCGAGGTGGCGAACTTACTTTTACCGCGCTGCGTTCGGGCCAGCTCGGGCAAATTTCAATCAAAATGGCGGTTTTCCCTTTAGTATCAGAGACATAAAGTTCCACCCGACACCCAACTTACGCACTCACTAATGACAGAAACGGCGCTTTCGCAGACTAAAAACCTCCTTTTTCCTACACCCTCACCCGTATCCACTACAATTTCTATCCCTTTCTAGAAGTTAAGGTTATGAGAAATAATCACGAGGATAACATATGATGTTGTTTATGAGGTAGCTATCGGAATGAGCCCAGAGGTGACAGTACTAAGCGTGACATGTCAAATTCGATCTTCGGCCGGCACCGTAACCGTCCCTCCCCTAGTGGCCACAGGCGCACAGAAAACCACGTGTGTGTTTGGTTTTCTTTCACCGAGGGCACAGGGCCATCATGTTAGGACAACACAGCCCGCCTTTGAAAGCGAGAAGTCGTTCTTTTCTTCAAGGCAAATTAACGTTCACAACTTTCCAAACTTCGTATAATGAAGACCGTTGAAACAGAGGACTTGAAAAATTAAAACACACTTTAATAGCGGTAACTTAGGATATTTTATAGAATACGAGCACTTCCATATTTTTTTTCCTTAGCCAAAGGAACTAGGTTTCTCACTTTATGAGATATTTACCTTACTGAAGGATGGAAAAAGGGGTAACAAGTTGCCAATGTCATGATCTACGTTGCAAGCGGATCTCCGCTTGTACATATAACGGTCATTTTAGCACACAAAACAAACATCCCCTATCATTTGCCTTTGACATTGCGTTACAGTTGTAATACTTGTAGGTTGCCAACTTTAGTAGAAAACTCTTTGTGCTTGACATCATTTTCTTGGCTGGTCGAGTCCAAGAGGACAGAAAATCTCTTCTTTGTGATAAAAAGTCGTGGTCGCGGGTAGACTTAAAACGTAGCGGTGCTTTGAAATATGGAGAATCCAAGAGAGAACACTTAAAATTGGTAGTTCTTATATCTCCAGTAGATCACGAAAAATTGTCACTGTTTTTAGAGTGAAAGCCCGCAAGAACTTAGCTGTTTTTTTTTTGCGCTACGGGATGGCAAGTTGGTCCAATATTGTAATAAAAGCAAGGACCTTTTCCGCGATACATGTATAAGATTAATTAGGAAACATTTTATTACTGCTGGACAGTTGCGTATTTTTTATTTACCAGTACTTCAATTTTTACCTCAAAACAAGGCTCGTACGAACTACTTACATTTTTTTGGTTACATTAAGGAACTGTAAAGACAGATGTTTGTTTACAATGTCTATTAAAGGTTGTACCCATTTGGGCAGCATTCACAGGGAAGCTTGTTCCACAGTGATGTAGTTCTAGGAAAGAAGCGAATGATGTATTCGTATGCCTAAATTGATATTTACCGATATGAAAGAAGTAGATGTTACAGAGGTTTCTCCAGAAATTCTTCGGGGAGATGTGCTCCCTAATCGGTCGATGAAAAATCAGCAAATTTTCATGAAAACACTGAGAGAAAACCCTAAATTTGAACATTTTGGGAGAGGTGCCAGGATTTTGGGGAGAGGGGGAGCACCCTTGCTTCATTGCTTGAGGAGAGCCCTGTGTTATGAGAAACCCTAGCCTCTGTAGCAGGCTTATAGAACTGTGGGTTTGGTGGTCTTCGGCTGTTTTCTGATCAGCCCGGCTATGTTGTCTATATGGAATCAGAAAATAGCACATAAAAGCTCCCAAAGACCCCGAAGACGCCCAAAACCCCCAGTTTTTGGCATGCTATGGAGGCTACACGGTAGGTAAGGTAGCTCGGGCGCGGTCTACTCTGAAGTGATATATGGGCTATTTTCCTTCCCGGACGACCACTTGCGTGTTGCTGACGTGTGGACGCACCGTGTTGACTTTTCACCCAGTTTCTAAGTGCAGTGTAGGCGGCGGATGTGCGTAGGTTACCTTAACGCTGCTGACTGGCTAATAACATATAATATCGCATAATTACATGTGTCAGTTATTCTTTAACTCGTTTCAGCTTGTATAGATATTATGTGACGCAGCGTAGTCGTTACAGTACTGTACGTAGCAATAAATTTCTTCTTTTGTCAGCATTTACATGTAACACGATAACGGAAGAAGGAAGTCTCAGTTTCATTTATTTCGAAACCTTTTGGCCCTGCTGGGCTAGTCTTCCAAGGCTCAAAGTCAAACACATACATTTAAAATGACATATTACAAATGTACATGGTACAGGAAAATACAGTTAAAACATTTAAAAACATACTACATCACGAAGATACTACATCACAAAGATAATTTAGCATACGTAGTCTACGTTATTACACTTCATACAAAAGACTTCAATATTAATTTAATTGTTCCTTAATATTTTTGTAGTTCTCGTTTTAAGTATCAGTAAGTACAGAGTTATGTGATGGACATGGATTTACATTTGGATCTGGACACCTGTGGCTGTCATACTGACAGAATTAAACGAAACAGGGTTATGTTTTGTTTCACTTTGACCACGGCTTGCTGTTGGTATAAGAAACCGACGGGGTTTTGTTCTAGGACGGCCTGTTTCTTGGTGTGTTGGTTCGATTTGGAGATTTGTGTATAACATTTACAAGTAAAACATGAAATCACATACAGCTTTATCGAATTGCAACGCAGCTGGTCTAAAGAGAGAGTAAGTTTTTAGCATGATCTTTCCGTATCCGGTAGAATCTAGGTCTTGTGGCTTACAATAGAACAGTTACGTGTCGCAACATTTAGTTCGGTTGGCACGACGTAATGTGGTATGTACGCAAAACATTCGCGTTTCCTGGTTAGATCCCTTTGATGCTGTCTCTTTCTTAGCCGTGCAGTCAGTCGAAAATTCTGTTTAAATCAGTACGTGCAGCAAAATTGGTTGATATGATCTACTAGTATATTTCTTATCTATACATAGAAAGATGAAGAGAGAGAGGGACAGAGAGAGAGACAGAGATAGAGAGATGACAATAAGCAAGGATGCTGGTTCAATGGAATGATACTTTCATAAGCGGTTACATTTCTAATACACGACTCAGGTAGGTAGATAAGATTAGTTTGTCTATATCTGACAAGGTAATTGGCGCTTCTGGAATGATAATGTTGCTCACCTTGACCTAAGGGAAGAGGTCATCTTCGGGGCCGTTTTGACCGAACAGGTTTCTTAAAACTCTTTAGGTTTGGGTTTTGGCTTATTTTTGGTGTTTTTTTAGGCTTTTTTATCGGGCTTTCTTTTCTGTGCTGGTACTAGTATCTTTTTTGTTGGCGTAAAAAACTGATACCAGTGCCGCAAAAGAAAGCCCAATAGAAAAGCCTGAAAACACGCGAAAAATAAACCAAAACCCAAACCTCTGCTTGGAGAGTAGTTTCCTTACAAAATGCAAGCCGTGCTCTTATATTGAGGTGTTACAGAACATAGGAAAACCGAACGCTGACAACAGTTTGTTTTGTAAAGAATACCTTTCTGGTTTGTTGTTGTAAATGAAAATCTTTCGCTAACTGGAATTCAGATATGCACACGTTGTTTAAACATAGGAGTAGCTAATATGTTACTTAACCGTGCAAAGTAAAATATTCGCGTTATTATGATTATATTTTTAAGTATATCAAATCTTTTCTCTTCGTTTCTCTGTGAGACCACAAAAGCTATTGACAATAACAGGTGTTTTGGAAAACCGGCGCGCTAGGGCTTATTTTCCTTTCAAAGTCATGACTTAAGAGCCAATACAACGTTCACAGTGTAATTGTTTTAGGAATTGCACAACTGTTGTCACTACATGGGCCGTGTTCCTATAGCATATAACACGACAGTCCTTCTAGTATGGTTAGAGGACTAATGTTATGAATGGCATTCCGGTAAAAAGGAAGTTATTTGTAGCCTCCATAGCATGCCAAAAACTGGGGGTTTTGGGGGTCTTCAGGGTCTTTGGGAGCTTTTATGTGCTATTTTCTGATTGCATATAGACAACATAGCCGGCCTGGTTGAACCTTGGCTAATGAGAAAACAGCCGAAGACCACCAAACCCCCAGTTCTATAAGCCTGCTACGGAGGCTAGTTGTTTTGGACATATCCTGGAACGCGTCGTATTGTGTATGTCAACTAAAGTAGTCGGTAGGCACAACCTGTAACTTGTACATGTATGTGGAAAGTGGCGGTGTGTAGTAATTAAAGTAACCAATCAGCGCGTAGGGTCATACGACAGACGTGTTTGATTGACAGTTTTTACAGATGATCCAAGAACAGGAGCAGGCTGTGGGCGAGTGAGAACT